GGTGGTGTCGGCAGAGATGAAGCAGCACAGCTACATAGGGATAGGAACGAGGCACAGATATGATGAGCCATCACTGAAGAGGAAAGCAGAGATCCTCATCAGCCTCCTGTTTTCTCCATGCTACCACCATTCCCCAATCAACAGTTTAGGCCAGCTGTCAATGGTGCAAGTTGGTGGAACTCTTCACCAGAAGGTGTTTTGTACATGTCCTTTATAAGCTGAAAGCGTGCCTTAGGTGCTTCCTTCTGAAATGCAGTATAAAGATGTAGTTTGTTAGGTACCTGGACGTAGGTGAGGTCAATCACTGTAGAGAACAACAACAAAAAATATCAGGCCAGTTCACACCGTGCAGTTCCCTTTGGGACTTTTAAAAAAGAGTAACAGGGCAGCCACAGATCTACCAGCAAGGACAAATCAATACTTGAAATAGCTGTTTCATTAAACAAAGTACAGCCACTTGGATGTGCACAGAAGCAGCACTAAAAATTCAGATTCAGTGATATCTCAAGATGAAAGAGACTTTAGAAAAAGAGATAACTTTTGAATATTTGATAGTCATGCACTTCTGACTCCAGTTTATAATACACACATGAACTACAGCTTCATCCTAGCTTCCAGATAATAACACTTCAAAGTCCTGCACATACAAATACCAGCAGCAGGAAAGATGTTACAGCACTACTCAGGCTACCTTTCATATGACGCCTTTGAGCATTCACACATTCTGCTTTAAGGCCAGCTGAGCTCATTCCAAATGTTACAGGAGCAGGATGAGCACTGTCTCGATTATACTGCAGGAAAAAGACATTTTGTTCCAAGTTCCTGATAACAAAGTGCTCTTTATATTTCACTCATACAATCCATTGCCACCATTTTAATAACAAAATTTGGGACTAAAAAGAAAGGAGAGCAGAGCTTGTAATAGCTACATGCAGTACAGCAGGACGACAGTCCATATCTTCCAATTTTTAGTCTGCCTTCTTCAAGCACTGAGGAGGCGTGAGATCCGTTTGTATGCTCAGCAGATGCACGGGCTGGGTGCTGAAGTGTAAATATCAGGTCTCAATAGAGTGCTGATGACAGTATGTTATCTACCAAAAGCCATGTAACATGGGGTATTTCCTTGCATTAATGAGCAGTCATAGGGAACAGGGACCATTTAAACCCCGCAAACAGCCTGGACTAGCCTTTTTTGTCTTAGCAACCAAGCCCGGTTTTCACCTTCAGGCTCCTGCCAGTTCTCCTGTGCCTTACTGGCTGCTTTGTGACCTGTGTAGAGGTTTTCCTATGAAACAGTGCAGCAATCACTGCTGGATTCTGACTCTGGCCTTGCTTATGCTCAAGCTGACTGCTTCCTCATGCCAGAAGCACTGAGGCAGTAGTAGCTCATCACATCCCACCTAAGAACACTGAAATATTACATACAGTTGATAGGGCACACATTTTTCCAGCCACAGGCCAGGCCAGCAGTGTAGCCCCAGTTATCTTACCAATTCTGTCACACCAAAGTAAATCTGGAGAAGTTTGTACTTGCGAATTCTAGAGGTCAGAGTCAGCAAATGTAACCTCAGCAAACTATTTTGACAGATGCAACACCTTACGAGTATCTGTTGTTTCACTTAATCTCATTTTCAAATTTTCCATAGATTCTGTTGGAGGAAACTTCTCCACTTGTCCATGTGTAAGCTGCTAAGAAGATGGAATAGTAAAGCGATTGAAAACATTTCCAATTAACACCACATTGAATCACGTGCAATTCAATGAAAGACACGTGATCTAGGCTTAGGGGCTATCACGCATATCTTTGTAACAGACACAGAAATAGCTTGCACAAAGCCTTCCCTTAGGGGGAAAAAAAAAACAAACCAAAAAAAAAAGCCAGAAACCCAAACCATAAGGTCCCATAGGAGAGGGGTAATGAAGTAAGATTTGCCTCAGCTGAGAATGTTGGTTTCTGACTCCATCACATACTGTGCTTGTGGAATAGAGAGCACCACAAATCAGTACATTAGACACTACCACCTGTGCCCGAGAGCAGAAATCCCTATTGGCCGGCACTAAGGGATTGTGACTTCAAAATATTATTTTTAAGATGGATTAGGGACAAGACAAATGTGAATTGTTTTATATTTGGGCATCCCACCCTAAAGAGCAACAATCAAGCATCACTGCTGATAACCTAAGTGTTATCAGACAAGAATTTTGCTTTAGTAATCCACCTACAGCCAGAATTCAGACAGCAGCTTTAAGCCATGTTTTTCTCCTTGTAGAACTAGGGCATTCCCTGTCAAAGTGCCACTCTGAAACACACTCTCAAATTCCTGTCTGGCCACAGGCCACACACCTGGATATCTTTCTAGAAGAGAAACTAGAAGAAGGGAAAAAACGAGGAAAGTTGGAAAGAACTGCATGCTTTAGCCAAACCCTGGCAACTGGGCTGGGACACAGCCAGGGTACAGTCCCAGATCTCATAATACAGACAAGCATTAGTTATCTGCCTTCACGGCCAGTGGAATCTGTGTTTCATACTGTACAACAGATAAACCACCCAACAAGATGAGCTGAAGCTTTCTAACAATAGTTTGAGCATGGCTATATCCAGATTTTGGCACCCACATAGAGACTTCTCCAGTGTGCAAAGCACCAGCTGCCTCACTCACTTCCCTCAAAAATGGCTGGAAACCCAGCACTCCCTGGAAGAACAGTTACTGTCAGCTCTGTCAGACACTGGTGAGTGCAGAGGCACCTGATGTTAATGTCACATATCCCACCCATCTTCCCCTCCCCCCAAAAAAATCTAAGAAGTTTCAGAGCAGAGTAGAAGTACATCAGGACAGCTCAGGAAAGATGCCTACTCATTGGCATATTTGGGTGGTGTGCTGCACGTACCAAGTGGCAGAGATGGAAGTGTTGAATGCCCTGCTAAGCCTCTCCAAGTACTGCAGTACAGCATCCCAAGCTACATCTTTGAGAGGGATCCAGCTGCAGGCCAGGGAGACCACACAGAGATGTAGAGAGGTTGCCTCTGGATTGCACTCATTGCTTTGCTTTATTTTGGCAGTAGCAGAAAAGCCAGCACCGTACACTAACGTGATCATGCCCAGCCTCTTCAGCATCATCTGTTTCCTGGGCATTGTGGGGAACCTCATTGTCATCTACACTATTGTTAAGAAGAAGAAGCTGAGATGCAAACAGACTGTGCCTGACATTTTCATCTTCAATCTCTCCATTGTGGACCTCCTCTTCCTCTTGGGCATGCCCTTCCTCATCCACCAGCTCCTAGGCAACGGCTCATGGTACTTTGGAGCTCCCTTATGCACCATCATCACTGCCCTGGACACAAACAGCCAGATCACTAGCACCAACATCCTTACAGTGATGACACTGGACCGTTATCTGGCGACTGTCTACCCTCTGAAATCTACCTACATCCGGACCCCGTGTGTTGCAGCTCTAGTTATCTGCTTGGTGTGGCTCCTCTCCTTCCTGACCATCATTCCTGTGTGGATGTACGCAGGTCTTATGCCTCTGGAGGATGGAACCGTCCGCTGTGGTCTCCTGCTTCCCAACCCAGAGACCGATATCTATTGGTTCACCCTCTATCAGTTCACGCTGGCATTTGCTGTGCCACTGATTGTGATCTGCGTGGTCTATTTTAAGATCCTGCAGCACATGGCCACCACTGTGGTCCCATTGCCCCAAAGGAGCCTCCAGGTACGTACGAAGAAAGTCACCCGCATGGCAGTTGCCATCTGCTCTGCCTTTTTTATCTGTTGGGCTCCCTTCTACATCCTCCAGCTCATTCACCTCGGCATCGACACACCATCCATGGCCTTCTTTTATGCCTACAACTTTGCCATTAGCTTGGGCTATGCCAACAGTTGCCTCAATCCCTTCCTTTACATCGCCCTCAGCGAGACCTTCAAGCGCCAGTTCTTGGTGGCCATCCGCCCTGCAAAAGAGCCATGTCACAACAGCAGCTCTGTCAACAACAACAGCATGACGGAGGCCAGTGTTTGTCTGAAACTGGCACCAGAATCCACCCAGCAGACTCAGTTTCTGGAGGACTTTTCCCCACCTTCACTGCCTGTGACCGTTCATTAGGGCACTCTGAAGCGATCACAGCAGAAAGCCTTCAGATCTTTAAGTCAATGGAAAGCAGCAGCTTCAGGCAATTCTTGGTGAAGCATATGAACTAAAAGCTTGCACCTGCAAGCTTCCAGGTGCCTCCTTTTCCCATTGCAGGACTCCGCTCCTACACTGCCCTTAGCCTATGAGATGCTGCAAACTGCTGCTTCTTTCCACTCCTGCATGGGAGGACCCTATCACACAAGACACTGGACCCCCACAGAGGATGAATGAAAAAGACAGAAATAGGGTTTGAAGGGGAAATGTTCACCCTGGAAGAGTAAAACCGCTATCAACAACATTGTCCAATGTTTCCTTGCCTCTTGGCCTAACCAGGGCTCCTAAGCAGCGCGTCAATATAGAGCTTCTTCATTCAGAACATGAACTTTTGAAACACTATGTCATATATTTATTTTTTATAAGAAATCTCACCTGCAAACTCTGATGGCTCTGCATATCCTAGAAGCAAACAGCAGAGAGAGATCTTGGAGCCACAAGTCTCACTTAGGTGCGTCACTTGGCCTTTTGGTCCAGCCCCGTCTGCCTCCAGTAGTCCGTATTGTTTGGCAACCAAGTCATTTTCAAGAACTGGCTAATTTTGATGCTAATCCTAAATACTTCATGCAAAACCAAGCAGATAACAATTGCATTGCTTCAAGGGACTCCAAATAATTCCCCAAACTACTGCTGCTAACACCAGCTTTGTGGCTTTTCATGTCAATGAGCAGATTTTCACACTGCCAGTTCCTCATGCTGCTCTTGTGCCTCACAGTCTGCATGACTATCGGGGAACCCCAGGCAGAGAGTTTTAAACATGGCTAAAAAACACAGTGTACAGAGATCTGTGGAGTGAGAAGCTGTAAAAAGGCAGCTGAGAGGAAGCAGAGTTGTTTATGCAGCTTCCTCAAAATAACAAATTCTTCGCAGAGTCAAAAGAAGGAAAATTAAATCTCTGTGTTTTGTATGTGCAGCTTTAACAGTTGGAGGTTAGGAAATAACTTTGCTCATTAGAGACACTAGAGAAAAGACAGCATAGATCAGCTAAATGAGGGGATTATACGGACAGCCTGCGCAGGGCTCCCAGGGGACCATGCAGGCATTGTTCAACACTTTGTCAAACATGGAGAAAACGGGGACTGTAGATGAATTTAATATAAAGAAGAATTAAAAACATCAAACAGCACAAAAGAATTTGTTACTATGCTTGTGGTTTCATGCTACCAGCCACCCACAACATACCCAGAACAGAAATTCACCCTTACAGAGCTACACAGGAAAATTGTGTCACTTGCACAAGACTTCCTAAGCCATATGCACAGCACACACACTGCTCATAGGTATTTTTAAGTACAGCCATTACTTCAGTCTACGCCCTGTAGAAAACACACAGCCAGTCACTCACCTTTGGTGATCTAAGCACGCTGGTGTGCAGTATCAGCACTTTTGATTTCATCAGATGGAGCGCGTTGCTTTTCGAGTCACTGAACAAACCCCACAACAGAGTCTCTCTGTAGCTTCGTCCCCGGGCCCAATCAACCTGCACCCACCGCAGCAGCACGTCCACGCCGTGACTGCATGATATCTTGTCAATTTTTTGCCCACATTTCCCTAGGCAATAAAGCCAGACGAGCATATATGGAGCTTTCAGGCTTTACAGCTCTAAAAATCTTTGTCCCATTTTAAGTGCCAGGAATCTTTGCCTGCTGGTTTTCATGGAGCTGCTTTGCTCTTTGGTCAGTACTCTCCCCAAACGGCTCAGGAGCGAAGGTCAAGGAAGATGTGTGCCATGCCAAGCCAGACTTGCTCTCAGGACAAGGGAAGCTGTTGTGTTACTTTTTCCCATAAGGAAGTTAAGGGGAAGGCTGGCACATTTCTCCATAAAGCAGGTGGCAATGATTGGGTGGGGTTTTTTTCTCCTTTAATACCAGCAATGAGAGTATAAGGAAGGTGTAAACAGACTGAATTGTCAGGGCTCTCTGAGAGCAGCACACTGAAGATACTGCTTCCACAGTTAGGGTGTTTATGGCTGAATGAGTCTATTCCGCTCTGAAGTGAGTCACTCTGACCCAGTATGGCCAAGCCACACGCTAAAAACCACAGGGACACTGTGGGTCAACCAAGAAGGGAGGACAGCACCAACAGATACAACTCTAAGATGAGTTTTTGCAGAGTAGACCTTCTCTAGATCTCACTATGCTGAAGTCAAGGCACAGTACACAGGCATCTTCCCAGGCTGAAGTTCATTTAGATCTCATTTATGTGCAGTGGGAGTCCATGCTAGAGACACCTGGTCCCAACACCAGAGACAAGGCTTTCCATTAAGCCCATGTCCCAGCAGAGGCACCTGCCCCTTCCCACCATCCTGCAAAGGGTTGTGTTTTCCATTCCCTCATGTTCCTCCTTGTCTCTCCCCAAGGTGTTTCCTACTCCAGATGTCTACACGCTGGCTGTGGTTTCCCCTCCCTTTCCACGTACATCCATAAAAGCAATGGAAAACACAGTTTAGAAAAATAAGGATATGGATACCTGTGGATGTTCTGGGAGGTTGGGAAGAGAGGTACAGACAAAGCAAACAAACAAAGAACATGGACACTATATAGCTTTTTGTCATTCTCCCTAAATCACCTCAAAGCACAAGGCAAGGTGAATAAAAGCATCTCCTTTCAACACAAACTTTTTGATCAAAGGCCTTCAGAGGTGTCCCTCTACCTAGGGGGTGAGGTAAGGACTTCCAAAACCTAAACAGTCGGTGCATCTTGGTGCGACCCACCCCAGGATCCTACCCCTTTTCCCTGTTTTTCAGAGCAAGCTTTGTTAAGTCTGACAGTCTGCTGACGTTCTGGTTGGTGTTCAGCTTCACCTCTTTGTCTGTTCTGCTCTTTGTATTTATTATGTGATCCCCCCCCATCTCGGTGCCTCTGTTACTGATGGCAGAGCCTGAATAAAAGGCATCACTAAGTAGAAAAGGACACAGGACACAGCTACTTGCGCAGAGATAGGCAGCTGAAGTGCTGTGAGGTCTGCCTGAAAGGGGAGGTGAGAAGGGCACAGAGATAATGCAGCAGCGTGTTTCCCTGCAGTCCTGCCTCCCATACACAGCCCATTGTCTATCCTGCTTGAGAGAAACCAAGGGAAATCCAGCTAAATAACCAGGGGGAAAACACACATCCAAAACCAAAGGGTGATGGAAAGAAGCTATTCAATCTAGTTGTTCAGATCAAGAGCCTGCTATGCTCATCCAGCATATTTTCTCATCTCTTTTTGCCAGCACTTTTCCCGTACA